CAACCTCATCAGCTGTGTCCTGCCCCAGGTCTCTGCTGGTTTCCCAGGACACAGAGCAGCTCTGCAGGCTGTGCCTGGCTCCACAGCGAGGTGTGCAGGGGCCTGGGGCAGGAACACAGCAGGCACTGGTGTTTCTGGGGATGGGTACACAGCAGCAGAACTGCCTGACCCCTCCGTGGGGCTGGGGAGACCTGAGATCCTTGGGAAGGGGGAAATGGCTCCTCCAGCTGAGCTTTGAGCCATGGTGCTTCTGGTGTGTGGCACCCTCCAGTCTGTGCCCCTCATCTCCCCCCTGCAGTATCTCACTTCCCCCTCGCCCACAGGGCTGTGCTCCCCTGTCCTGGATTGCCAAGCAGATTGGATTCTATTTGCCATCTGTATGGCAGTTGTCTCCTGCTCAGTGGGCAGTTTTCCTTATCTCTTCCACACCCACTCTTCCCTTGAGGGGACATCTGCTGATAACAGGCTATGGAATGTCCCTGCATGGCTGATAAGAACTACAGCATCCACTGGGAGATGTGAGCCCAGGGGAGGAGCCAAGCATTCCTACCTGGATAGAATCTGAGATTCTGGAACACCAGCACGGCTTCTCCACTGGATTTCCCAGAGGAACAGCAGCTGCCTCTTCCACTGGATCTTCAGAGGAAGACTCCACCCTTCTACAGGTTCCCTGCTCCAGCAGAACCACCCCTGGCACTGCAGGAGGGCTGCAGCCACAATTCCAATGGGACTGCTGCCAACCCCCTGACCCACAGGGTGTCAGGCGTGTTCTGACTCTGGCAGTGTTGTTTTGGTTTACTGCACTTTTAAAAAAATCTTTTTATTTTCTTCCCTAGTACAGAACTGTTATTCCTGCTCCCATATTTTTGCCTGAGAGACCCTTAATTTCAAATTTATAACAATTCGGGGGGAGGGGGTTTGCATTTTCCATTTCAGGGGAAGCTCCTGCCTTCCTTAGCAGACACCTGTCTTTCCAAACCAAGACATCCCCACTCTGCCCCACTCTGTCCCACATGCTGCTCACACCAGGAGGTTTGATCATCCTCACAAAAAAAAAGGAGCAATAGTCAAAGAGTGCTACAGCTCTCTTTAACTATTGATAGGAAGAGTGTAGAGAAGCAGGAGCTGTGCAGGGGAAGGATAGAGGTAATGGGCATAAATGAACCATAGGAATTTGTAATTTGATAACAGGAAACATGGGATGGTAAAAATGGGAAAAAGGTGAGAGACTCTTAGAGACATTCCTAAGATTATCCAGCAGGTTTACCTGCTGGACAAGATCCTGACCAGCCTCACAAGGTGGACCCATTTGAATGTGGATAGGAGACCTCCAGGAGCATCTTCCAGCCTGGATATCTGGGCAATCCTTCCAGTACCTCCCCCATGTATGTGGCTGGGGATAAGACACTGTCACACCCCTCTGGACCTGTGCAGGGTGTGGGTGTGTGTGCTCCCTGGCTGATGTCCACACGTGGCCATGGCACTCCTGGTGTTGCCTTTCCATCCCAAGGTGTCCCCTGCTAAGACAGACTCTCCATCTCTCCGTTTCTTTCCTGTAAGTGACAGCTGGACAGGCCAGCACATCCCTGGGAGGGACCTGGCAGGCACAGCCAACATGGTGTCATTTGTTTTTTTTGTGAAAGAGGAGCAGCCTCAGCAAATTGAGAATGTTACCTCACCCCAGCATTGTCACCTGTCCCCCCTGCAGGGGCTGGCAGCCAGGTCCATGGGGCTGAGGGGGTCAGGATGCCATCCTGGGGCAGGGGGCTGCCCTGAGCACCTGCACCCAACTGTGGGCATCTTCCTGGTGACAGCCAGGGGACAGAACTGCACCAGCCCCTGTGATTCCCTGGGCAATCTAAGGTGGGGCTGCTCCTCCAGGTCACATGCAGGGTGGGCAGTGGTGCCAGGGATCCCAGCTAAAACAATATTTTAAGAAGCTTTTCCCATTTTCCCATCCTCCTGTGAGCCCCTTTGTCAGTGACCTCTCTGCTGCACAGGAGCCTTCTCCTGTGCAGCTCCACTCTCCTGCACCCCCAGCTGGCTGCAGTCCTTTCCAGGGAGCCCCCAAAAGCTCCAGCCCCCTGTGCTGCAGCCCCAGCTGAGCTCTGACACACACTGAGGGACAGAGATGAGGTATGTGACACAGGACTGCCACTGGCACCTCGGCTCAAGGGGAAATCTCTCCCCTCTCCCTGACCACAGCTGCATTTCACCAGCGATGGAATTTTCACCACTGAAAACACCTGGCTGGGGATGGATGGGGTCGGGGCCGAGTTCAGAGAGGTGCGGGAGTGAGCAAGGACGGGAATCTTGCAGAGAGACAGAGAGACAGACACGGTGCAGGCGCGGCAGCGGCAGGATGGGGCACGGACACCAGCTCATTAGCGGTGAGGCAGTGTCTAATCAAGGGTGATTACAGGATCCTTTCTCTTGCTCCGGAGGAAGTGCTGCTCTCACAGCGTCAGTGAATTGCTGAGAACACAGGGCACGGAGCAAAGAAGATGGAAAGTTTTGTGAGCACCTGCCCATCAGCTCCGTGCTCCTGCTGCCCTTCCAGGGCTCTCTCCTCAGCCCTTGTAGCTCTCCAAAGCAATCTAGCATTTCTTTATATATTCGAGTGTGGAGTTCAAGCCTGTATTTCCACGAAGAAATTAGATCTCACTCCAACATCCATACTTGCTACAAAATTTATGCTGATTTGCTGTGACAAACCAGCCCTGGCTGCCCACCTGTGCCTGGGGAGCTGATCTTACAAAACTTGCTGATTGTAGTGACAGGGCGGGGAGAAATCCCAGCTCTCCAGTCCTGCTCCAGTCATTCCCAGCTCGTCCTGACTCTGCCTCCATCACATCTGTTCGGTGCTCTCGCTGGCCGGGTTTAGTGGAGAAGCACCGCACGGGTTGGTTTTCCCCAAAGGGGAAGGAGGAACGCTGAGGCTCCCTCCAACATCCCCGGGCCCGCCCGCGCCCGGAGGGTCCCCCCGGCCGGGCGAGCCCTGCGCGACGGGGGCTGGGGATGGGGCTGTGCCCGGGCACAGGGACACCGCTGTCACCGGCAGCCCCGGGTGAGCCCCGGGAGCCGGGCCGGGACAGACACCGCGAACGGAGCAGGGACAGACAGGGGGACGGGGCCGGGACAGACACGGGGACGGGACAGACACGGGGACGGGGCCGGGACAGACACGGGGAGCGGGGCCGCGGCCGAGGGACCGCACCAGCAGCATCCCGAAGTGCTGCGTGCTCCAGGCTGTCCTGAGGATCCAGTCCCGCTGAAACCCAGGGCTCTGCCAGCAGCCACAGCAGTGACCTGCCGCACCCGCAGCGGGCCGGCAGCACCTCCGAGCATCCACCCGCTGGGTCCGCGCACGGGGATCCGTGTCCCAGCGCTCCGTGTCCCTGCTCCAGCCACCGTGGGCAGGGTGAACTCTGCACTGAGCTCCGGGAACACCGGAATGTCGCTGGGCTCATGCGGGCATGCACGGCTCTGCAGCTCCCAGCCCAAGGGACAGCTCTGTGGGATGGCCCCTGCGCCCTCCCTGCGGAGCGGCACCAAGGGGTGCCCATCCTGCGGCACCTCAGGGTGAAGGGGGGCCAGGTGGGGCTGCCCCTGTCCCCACAGAAGCAGGCAATGTTCTGCATTCTCCCACATGGTCCTGTCACTTCTCCCTCGTGGGCAGCCGGCTCCAAACCAGCCCCAGGGACAGTTCTGTGCAGTCACACCTCATGTCACAAGTGGTTCCCCCTCCCAGGGGAAATACAACCTGCATGACACATTTCTCTCATTTTTCATGGTCTCCAGTGAGCATCGTCCCTTCCTGCCTTGTTTCCCTCCCAGCTAACCCAGTACAGCTCTGGCCATCCAGCGGCTGGCACAAGACTGCGCTCCTCAGGCGAGCAGGAGAAGCAGAGAAGCTCTCACCCAGCGGTGGCAGCTTCCACCGGGCTGTGCAAAAGCCCTTCCTGGGCGGGTTTGGGGGCTCTGCTCTGACAGCTGAGCACCTGCGGCTCAGCACCATCCAGGGAAGTCAGAAAACCACCCCCATGGTGTGCGTGCCGCTCCAGGCACGGGTCCCCTCTGAGCAGCGAGCACCGCACGAACATCCCGGCACCGTCTGGGGCTGCCGGTGCCCCCGAGGGCTGTGGCACCCACGGCTTCCCCTGGCACTGCCCTGGCTGCATTCCGAGCTGGGAATGCCGCGGTCCTGCCCAGCCTGCCTGCCAAACAGCTGCGGCTGCAGCGCTGCCTACGAACCCAGGAAGCATCTTCCTCAGGGATAACTTGTCTCCCTGAGAGGGATGTTTCCTTTCCCGGTTAAACCCTGAGATTTATCCACAGTCGTTTATCAGGATCCTCAGGCATCACCAGTATGATGGCACCGAGACCACCTCTGGGGCTAGAAATGAACGCAGCAGTCTCTGTTAATTAACCCTTCGGGGTATTAACATCAGCAGGGGTATGAAGCATTCAGATAATCAATAATTCCTAAATAAAATTAATACATAAATGATCACAACACTTACCAACCCCCCAGACCTCTTCCAAGGCTTAAATACTCATTTTTAAAAGGCAGCTCGGACACTGCTGGTGGCCAGCACAACCCAAACCCCGCAAAGCTCTGAGTTATTGCAGCTATTGAAATGCTTGACAGAAGGACCCCACAGCAGATTGCGCTAATTGCTGTGTAAAATACTCCATTATGTGCTCAGACAATCAAAATCGACCCGGCAAGTCAGTTCCCCGGTCCGCTGCAATCGCGGAGCAGAGCAGAACATCGCAGTATAAACAGCGCTCGCAGAGGGGCGCGGGAGGAGGGGAGCTTGGCAGGTCCTGCCCAAAGAGCTGCCTTTTTTTGTTGTTATTTTGCTTGGTTTCTAATTTCCACAGGAAATTTAATTTCGGGAATATGTGGCACCAACTTCCAAGCCGGAGGAAATCTGCAGCTGTTGGAGGGCTCCGGGGAAAGCATTGCAGAAAGAAGCAGCAAGGGCTGTACTTACAGGTAAGCGGTGAGAGGGCTCAGGCTGGCAGGGAGCTCCGAGAGCCCCAGCTCGGAGCAATCCACCGAGAGCGTGATGCCGTCCTGCTCGCAGTGGCACTGGGGCGGGCAGGAGGGCGCAGCGCCCGGCTCCACGGGCAGCGCCTGGCAGCGGGCACAGCACGCCAGGAGAATGCCCCAGAAGAGGAGCGCGGCCATCCCGGCCCCGGGCGCCGGCCGGCCGCGGGGCACGCAGCGGGCACCGGAGCTCCGGCAGGTCCCGGTGTGCCGGGGATGCGGCCAGGCAAGGGGAGGCATTGCTGAATGATCTTGGTTATTGGGTTTCAAGGGCTGGGCAGGGGCGTGAGACACTCCAATGGGAGGAGTTAAACTTTCTACTCTTTCCCTCTCTCTCTCTCTCTCTCTTAGAGCTGGCAGGAATTTCATTCAAAGGGAAGAAAGGGGGGAAAAAAAAGGCAAAAGAAACCTCAACAAATAAAGACCTGTTCATAGCTCCAGGACCCAGGCTTGTTTTGTAACCGTGTTTTTGTGAGATAGCAGGGCAGGGGAAGGCAGAGCTGGCTCCAACAGGGCAGAGGAGTGTAAGCAGTGAGGCAGGAGGACCCAAAGAGCCCTTCAAGGGCTCCAGACTTCGGGACGCTGAAATACAACCCCTGATAAAGGACTCTGTGTCTGCTGGCTGCTAAACTCAGCTGTGACTGGAAAGTCAGGGTGCAGCTGGGGAGAAGGGACTGAGGGGCTCAGGACCAGCTCTCTGCCGGGAGCGACCATGCCCGAGGCTGTCTGTCTGTCTGTCCTGAGCCCTCCCACTCCAGCAGCCCTGTTGCTCTCTCCTTGCAGCAGGCAGGGGCTGGGGGGAGATGCAGGGGATGGAGCAGCAGCGTCACAGAGCTCCGTGGGGGACACGGTGCTGTGTTGGTTTTGCCCAGGTGTGACCAGGTGTGAGCTGTGTTTGCAGGAGCTGCCCAGCACTGATGGCAGGAGAGGAGGCTGGGTTGCTTCCAGAGCTCTTTCTAACCCCGGCTCAAGTGGCCAAAGTAGGGGAATAGTCCATTGAGTGGGGGCTTGAAGCCGTGTCATCTGGACCTGTGTCACAGCCTGGCTTAGCAGAGGCCCTGCCCAGGCCAGGCCCTCACAGTCTCCTGGAACACATGGGATGGGCATCAGATCAGGATGCTGTGTCAAGGAGCTGCCGAGTTCTGGGGTAGCAGAAACACCTGCCTAGCAAAGGGTGCTGGAGCTGCACAGGGGAGGGCTGCAAAGGACAGCTCTGTGTCCTCTCTCATGCCAGCCACTGGCCGCTCAGTGTCACTGTGATGCCCTCAGATGGGGTCACTGCTGTCACCCCGTGACAGGGGTTTGAGGGACAGGGGTGAGCCTGGCCCCACAGCTTGAACCACCCCCAGTCTCTGTGCAGAGCCAAGTACCTCATCTGTAACAGGGACAGCAGCTGCACATGGGTCTCACACTGAAGACAGACAGCTGTCCATGGGGCTTTAGGTGCATCTGGACCCTGGTTTGTTCCTCCCTCTGCCTCCCTCTCACCCCTGCATGGAGGAGGTGAATGGGGCAGAGAAAGAAGGGCCCAGGTTTGGGTGGCTGCAAAGTGCACCCAAAAAGTTGCCCCTCCTACTGTAACCATGCTATGACAAAGTGCCCCATGGCCAAGGCACAGACTGAGAGGTGCTTTCACAGCCCTGCTTCCTCTGAATGGGCCTTTCCTTCTGGCATAAGAGTTTCCTGACTGATATTGCCATTATTGCAGGATAAAAGAGGCTGAGGTGTTATCTGTGGTCAGGAAGGTGGACTGGCACAGTGGGAGATTTAGACAGCTCCAGCTCACCAGGGCTGGGGTGCCTTGAGACCTGTGAGTCAGAGCAGGAATCTCCTCCCCAGGAAAGTGCTGAGATGGAGCTCAGGGTTCAGGGCTGATGCACAGACTCTGGCTGAGGGCTCCTGGCTGGGGTGATGCTGCATCTGAAACTATTTCACTTTCAAAGTGCATTCAGATCCTGCAGCTCCAGGACTCCCTGAGACTGCTGCTGTCATTGGAAAGATCATCCCCCAGTGCAGAGGAGAGAGAGGATTTTGGTCTGGGACCAGGAACTGCTTTAATTGGAATTAAGCTGCTTCCATCATGAACAGTGCTGGGGATGTCATTAATTAAACATTTGCAATGTCTTTTGACAGCTCCAAATGTAAAACACAAAAGCTTGGTGGGGAGACAGGGAGCTCTCCTCAGAGGGATGAGTCCCTGGGGTTCCTCAGCTCTCTTCCCCTCCAGCTCTGGGACACTGGCAGGGCCTGGAAAGGCTGGACATGCTCTGACAGCAGCCAGGAATTTGAAGTCAGGCTGGAGAAAGTGTCAGGCCTGTCACCCCTGGCTGCAGCAGCAGCAGCTCTTATCTGTGACCCCTGTTCCTCCAGCCTCAGCAGCCAACACCAACCTCATCACCCCCCCGACCATTTCTCGCTCAGCAAACTGCCCTCAGCACCAGGGCTCTGGCTGAGCATGCTGTTAATGCAGTTCTTGCAGAAAATCACACTGAAGAGGTTCCTGTTGAAACTATAATTCAGCTGAAGCAGGGATATTTCCTCAGGAAGGTACTGACTGCAATTTTCACATTTCTGTGGAGCAGCATCTCCTGGTGTTGGAGAGCTTTTCTCCACGTGCCTCACTTTGAATTCTGTGTTTGCTTTTTATTCCAGGCTGGCTGTGGGGGTTCGTATCCATGTCTTATTTCTTTGAGATCTTATAACTGCTGCCAACATCCAAAGCATCACTTATTCCAGCATGTCACCTGGCTCCTGGCAAAACTGAGGGTCTGCACATTGAGTTACTTGGACCACAGAGCTTTGATGCTTCCATGGTCCCATAGTTTAACATAGGAAAAGTTTAAAGAAGTGATACAAAACCTTTTTCTATAACGAACAATCTATTGAACCACTAAAAAACTAAACATGCCTCTGTGAAAGACACGTTAATGATTAAAAAACCCCAAGAAACCAAATTTATTAACCTCAAAATGAATAAAATCTCAAATTAACCAACCAAAACCACCACACATGACAAACCTGGGATTTCTGAATAAGCCCCTTGGGGGTGGAAGTGTAATTTGCAGCGCCGTCTGGCTGGGGCTGCGGCTCGGAGCGAGCCGTGCCGTGGCTGCGCGCTCCCGGCGCTGCTCGGGGCCGCAGCTCCCGCAGCCCAGCCGCGTTTGCGTGTTGTCCTCTAGCGGCAGCGAGAGCGCTGCGAGGGGAGAGCGCTGCCCCTGCCGGGCCCGGCCGCGGCTTTCGCTGCCTCCGGATCGAAGGCGCTGGGCACAGGAGCTCGCGTTCGGACTCGGGTGTTTATTATTTCTTATCAGTGAAACAGTCTCACTACTGTGAGTTTAGCAGTTTTTCACTAGAAGGCACAAAATGGCCAACAACCTCTTGTTACAAGGTCTTTTAAAGCTAAACTATCCAATGAAGAACTGACACCTGAATTATTTTCCCTTTTGACCCAATAACTGATCCCAAAGAGCCCGCAATGCAGTTTTTTCTGCCCAATTACAAAATGCTACCCAAACCCATGAAGAAGAAGGAAGAAGAAGAATGAAGAAGAAACCCAGGATAACACCCTGTGCCCTCCATCTTGCTTTCATCCACAAGATACTAAAAATCCCAAACCCTAAATTTCTCACCTAGTGATACTACTACCTCTCTATAATCTATTTCACACTTTTGTGGATTCCAGTCTATCTTAGAGTCTGGGAAACTTTCTCCATGAATGAGGGTCAAAGTCAGTGCTCCCCTGGGGGTCAGGGCATCCCAGAGCAGACAGAGAAATATTCCTGGTGTCCTGGGTTTCCATGCCCCAGCCCCCCTTGGCTCCCCAGGCCCTGCACCTTCCCTCTGCTTTTCCAGGACGGAGCTGAGACCTCTGGCACCCAGCACTGAGAGGGATTCCTGAGCCTGGTAACTTCTCAAAGTTCGCAGCATTTCACAAACTATTGAATTATCTCATGGTGTGTGTGGGTGAAGATGCTTCTGTTCTGATTTCATGCTTCTTTCTACTCACCTGAGAAAATTTCTCTGCATAAAATACACTGAGACAGCATAAGAGGTGTGGAAGCTTTCATCAAAGACAGCCAGGAACTGCTAAAACACCTTCAGAGAACCAATGTATCTTAACAATCACAAGCCTGAGGCCTTACAATTCCACTCCAATTTGATTTTAGAAAAGATTGAAAGCATAGGCTTCAGTACAGTTCTAGTGCACCCTCATTTTTATTGTTAACTTATAAGAAAATAACAGCAATTTTAAAATGCTGAATAGTGCTGAATAGTACTGTATAGTACCACTGGAATTCTTGGGTAGTTATTGTGAAATAACTACCATTCTTAATGGATTAATCCATGCAGAGTTTTAAAATAATTTAATTTTTTAAAAAAAAAATTCAATTTTAAAATAATTTTTGGTAGTTTTAAAAAAATAATTAAAATTTTTAATTTTTGAATATTTTTTTTAAATTTTTTTTATTTTTTTTTTTTTTTTTTTTTTTTTTTTTTTTTTTTTTTTTTGCCATCTCTCAGTGGAGAAGAAGGTCCAGCTCTTGGAGCTGCAGGCACAGCCATGGCCTCAGCTGCATTCCTGACAGCAGCACATGCTCTGGGGCTGGCTCTGGCTCTGGAGCTCAGTCTTGCACCTGAGGAGAGCCAGGACCTCGAGTGCCAGCCCCAGCCAGCTCCTCTCCGGGGGCCAGAAATGAGGTTCCACACAGGCTGAGGATTGTGCCTGGCAGGGCTTTCTGGAGCTGGTGGCATTCAAAGGCTGGCCTTGGAGCAATAGCTGGGGCAGGACCCTGAAGCCCAGCCCTGATGTCCCTCCTGCAGAGCCACAGGACCTTGGGGGTCCCTGGCGCTGGGCCTTGGCTCTGTCACTCAGCAGACCTGCCCTGGGGCTGCAGGGAGGGGATGCTGCTCCTCAAAGGTGCTGCCAATGCCATGGATATCCAGCTGAGCTGCAAACTGGCAGTGCCAGCTGAGCCAGAGTGCTGAAGCTGTTTCTGCCCTCAGCACGGGCCTGACATGGGGCCCCTGGAACAAACCACAAACGTGTCTCCTGCCCTGCTCACAGGGGACAGCTGCTTCTGCCCTCTTTCCATTTCTTTCCACATTTTATGGGGTTCTGGATCCACCCAGCAGGATCCCAG